GACATAATGTTCAAATCTAATTAAAAAGCAAAATAACAAAAATACCGAACTCCAAGGAAAATTCAAACACTTCAAACGAATGGAAAACAACAGTCATATTCCTGACTTGGTACAGGCATTTCCTTATGTAAAAAATGGTGGATTAAACCTGGTTTTAAAAGTAATGTGTATCATGCAAGAACGATGGCACCAGCTAATGTGCTGATTCTACTCTTAGGGACTGCAAGTCCATCAGAAGCGGTACAGAGAAAGTGATATCCGAAAAACGTGTATCATTTAATTCATAAGAGCATCGATGCTCTGTTTACTTGGCGGGTTACATTTGTCATGTTTGTGATAACGACAGATCTTTCATTTTTTTCATCATTGTGTGATATATTTCCAGTTTGTTTAAAAACAAAACAACTTATCCCGGCCCGTGTACGAAGAACATATACGAACGAAATACATATTTTACACATAAAAATGCAAATAAAATTGGTGATTTTAGTGTGAAATGAAAGTTTATGGGCCTCGGATAACTATTGAACCTTCGTTGAATATTTATTGTGAATAAAATGAAGGACATATCTTGCCTATTTTGTTTTGTACTTCCCGTATTCCGGTAAACAGTGCGCCCTAAGGCTTGTAAAAAATTAAAGATGTGTTGAATAATTCTGCACAATCAAGGTTTAGGTATTGTTTTGACATGAGACTACTGTCATTTAATGTAAACTTCAGACGAAATTCCTGGAATGCTTGAAATTGCTTAATATAAAATAGAAACCTAAGTGATTTCATACCTTTAGACTCTTTCTTAAGATATTTTGACCTTCATAAATTATATTGATTCTTCTGTGCTGTTGGAAGCTATCTTATTGTTGTATGTTAACCTATAGTTATCTTGTGTTATTTGTGTTTTTGAAAGGCTATATAAATGCCGTTAACCTCAAATTCCGTTCCATTCCTATTCCTATTCCTATGCATTACTCCCCGAGAAGTGACACAGGTATCAATCCAAGCCAATGCCTGTTACGTTTTTCAGTTGAAACGACATGCAAGATCGTCTTTTCATTAAAAATTTTTAACATGAATATGACATAAAATGTCATTACTTCACAACTTTATCACTGGGTCGATACCTCTGCCGTTGGACTGATGATAGTATCTGAGTAGTCAGAAGTCAGTGCTCCGGTACTGACCAGCTTTATTACACCTGTGTTAAATTCTCTGTATAAACAGTTAGAGTCATATCAAGAAACTTATACTTCAACTTCATAAGGCAAATTTGATCTTTGATGGATTTGGCTTTCTTCTGTCCTTTCTGGTCCTAAAAGAGAGGCGAAAGATCCCAAAGGGACATTAAAACTCAAGAGTCGAAAATAAAATGATTTAAATAAAAATGTATAAAAAAACAAAAAGACCAACAGACAAACAGTTCACAAAACACAACATAGAAAAACTAATGAATGAGCAATACGAACCCCACCAAAAACTGGGGGTTATCTTAAGTGCTCCGAAAGGGTAGGCAAATCCTGCTCCACATATGACATTCGTCGCGTTACTCTTACAGAATACGCAATAGCGGATTGGTTATAAGGCTCTTCACGTATTCAATTACTTATATATATATATATACAAGCCTAAATTGAAAACAACGTTCAAACCTATGATTGCGTTGGATAAAAACCGTAATTTCTATACGTGTGCATGTAAAACAAATTTCTTGGTAGAGGGGTCTAAATACAGCACAAACAACATTTTCCAAAAGACCAAAAAAGTGAAAAAGTATATTTTAACAAAACGCATTTGACTAACAGGTCGAAAAACTGATGTTCATAAACCCTGCTGACTGCCATTGGCGATTGCCAAATAAATTGATCACCAGATGTAAAAAATGGATCGTACATATTAATCTAATACCAAACAGAAAACAATAAACTTGCGGAAAAGATGGTATACCGCAAACATGAGGTGCAAAAATTTGTACACCATATCCGGATTTCGACAATTAATGTCTCTTCAGTGATGTTAGGGATCGAAACGGTATTTGGAAGGCCATATAATTTATCTCAATTTAGGATAAACTCTTGAATTTTAACGGATATATATATATATACAAGTCTAAATTGAAAACAAAGTTCAAACCTATGATTGCGTTGGATAAAAACCGCAATTTTTATACGTGTGCATGTAACAAATTTCGTTGTAGAGGGGTCTAAATACAGCACAAACAACATTTTCCAAATGACCAAAAGAGTGAAAAAATATATTTTAACAAAACGCATTTGACTAACAGGTCGAACAACTGATGTTCTTATACCCTGCTGACTGCCATTGACGATTGCCAAATTAATTGATCACAAGGTGTAACAAAATGGATCTCCTATATTAATTTAATACCAAGTAGAAAACAATAAACTTGCGGCAAAGATGGTAAACCACAACATGAGGTGCTAAATGTTTTACACCATATCCGGATTTCGACAGTTAATGTCTCTTCAGAGATGTTAGGGATCGCAAGTATTTGGAAGGCCATTAATTTTACCTCAATTTAGGATAGACTCTTGAATTTTTAAGAGTCAAAATAGGATGAACGGATTATATAAACCGGAGGGAAAATATATTACAAGCCCAAACGAAATAAATATAAACAAGTTTAAATTGAAAACAACGTTCAAACCCATGATTGCGATGGATAAAATCCCGCAATTTTTATGCGTGTGCATGTAACAAATTTCGTTGTAGAGGGGTCTAAATACAGCACAAACAACATTTTCCAAAAGATAAAAAAAGAGTGAAAAAATATATTTTAACAAAACGCATTTGACTAACAGGTCGAACAACTGATGTTCTTAAACCCTGCTGACTGCCATTGACGATTGCCAAATTAATTGATCACAAGGTGTAACAAAATTTTTCTCCTATATTAATTTAATACCAAGTAGAAAACATTAAACTTGCGGCAAAGATGGTAAACCTCAACATGAGGTGCTAAATGTTATACACCATATCCGGATTTCGACAATCAATGTCTCATCAGTGATGTTAGGGATGGCAAATATAATACAAGCCCAAAAATATTTTAAACAAGTCTAAATTGAAAACAACGTTCAAACCTATGATTGCGTTGGATAAAAACTGCAATTTTTATACGTGTGCATGCAAAACAAATTTCTTGGTAGAGGGGTCTAAATACAGCACAAACAACATTTTCCTAAAGACCAAAAAAGTAAATAATTCGTCTCAAATATAGCCCAACAATGTTAGATATTCAAATTTGCGTTAGCAAATTTTTGTTCTTCCCTCAGCGGTATTCGAACCCTTGCTTCTGTGACATCTTGGCAACACCGCCTGCACCATGGCCAGCGCCATTGACCACTCGACAACCTAGGCTACATAAAAATATAGCTTTCGGTGGTCGATGTAATGTCTTTCCTCGTCGACTTTATCTAGAGTTGTAACACAGTACATGATGTATATTGGCAAGTAAATGGTGTACCTTTCAGATCAGCTCTGTTTGTTAGTCGTAAAGGATGATAATTTTAATTACCATGCCGCCACATCAAATTCTTGTTTTGTGATACACATCTTAACATGCGACAACTTTATGACAGACATTCTCCATCGGATAACACGTGGTTATACAGGGCTAACACCATAATATGTATATAATTCGTCTCAAATTTAGCCCAACAATGTTAGATCTTCAAATTTGTCTCGGCGGGATTCGAACCTTTACTTCTGTGACATCGTGGCAACACCGCCTGAACCGTGTCCAGCGCCCTAGACCATATATATCAATTTTTCAATGTGATTTGCCGTATACCTTATAGTTAATTATGGTTTTTTTACTTATCTGTAGAGACTTCTCCTTAATGCACCAACATTTTATGCCTTTTGTATATTTAATTGTCACATTACATATCCTTGGTGCACTTGGGTCAATGTCAACATAATATTAGTTTTACTAAAAAATGACATGTACAACACTTAATTCAATATGTTTTTTTTTCATATGTCTGTTGTCTATATTGTATATTTTATTGTTCTGCAAATGTTTCTAATCGGCTTTCAAATCTTTTGGATTGAGCTTATTGATGATAATAATTCCAGATAAGCGCCTCGGACGCAACACATTTATTGAGGCTTTTTTGCATTTTCTACATTTTTTAATATTCCCTTCACAAATTCATAATTTTTTTCAAGTTCTTTGCAAAGGTTTCTAAGAGCATAAATGAATAAAAATGCTATGTGGGATGTAACTTCAATGAGGCGGCAAAGCAACAGCTGAAATAACCGGAAGAAGTAGAGAGGCAATATATATATATATATATATATATATGACAACAAGAGAAGCTGTGAACAATCTAAACAGAAAATACCACCCAAAGTCACCGAACACCAGTTTCTCAGTAAAACATAATAAACAAACTATTCATTCTGTTCTGATTCCAATAAGTCCATTATCGTCAACCTACATAACTTTAGGTGTCGTGTATAAGGCTTATTATATACAATATTTGTTTATCCTTTTTGACCATATAGCTCTTCACGTAGTTTTTAAAAGTACCTATACATACTTGGCGTCCGATTTTATGACTTTGGGCGTTCCTTATGAAGGTGAATCCAGAAAATAAACGCTTAACATTTACAAGGTGTAATATTCATTACCACTGTGTGAGACTTCACGATGGCATGAATGGTGGTTTAGACATCACGGAGTTATACTTTTTATGTACTTATGTTTACTAACTTAAACAATCCCGTCTCTGTATTTTTATACTTGGATATTTAAAATTTGAATTTGCATCCTTACGAAACATCATACTTAACAAAAGATCTACGACTGAACTTAATTGTAAGTTCCTAAACGAACAGGTTACTTCCGAAAAAGGGAATTCAAAGATACTATTTTGATTGAGAAAAACATTTTTATTTTATGAATTATTACAATCACCACGAAGATAAAAATGTGAGGTTATCTGCTCAACAACGTTAGGCGTCTAGTAAATATATATTTAATAAGCAGCACCTGTAAATAGAAATGAACAAAAATATAATATTAGAATTTTAATATTAATATTCATATATAAAGGAAATACTAAGTTACATTCCTGTTTAAGCTATATGTACCAAAATATAATGTAGCAAAAAATATTGGAAATGTTTTTATATAAAGTTCATTTTCAACTGAATCATTTTAAATCTTTGTACAACAGACTAAATTATCAATACCTTATCTTACTGAAGAGTTGACCGTTAAAGGAGCTTTCTTATAGAACATTCTCATTCTGATATATTTCCTTTAACACTTAATTTGTTTATAATGTAGCTGTTTAAATAAAACTGATATCAAGAGCTACTCAAAACAACTGAAAAGTTAAGTATGAATATTTGATAAACACTGGTTTATACTCTTACCTTTTCCTATTGCTCTACCACCTAATCCAGCTCTTAAACCTCCTTGAAGGGAACCTGTAAAAGGCACACTCATTAAGTCGTAATTATATTAATTTCTTGACAAATAAGGTATACATGTACATGTTACATAATGATAATATTAAATTTGGTGTAACAGCGATGCATTTGTATGTTGAAAAAAAGAGTTTGGTATACGTTCATAAGACACCAATTCGTCAAAGCACAATAAAAGTAACAACAAGAAGAAGGAAAGAATCACACAAAACACGTTAAACCAAAAAATAGGTATTAAAAGAAAAAAACCCAGTCATAGATATCATCATAGTTACAATCTCTAAGAATGAATAAATTTCTTTATCAGAATAGAAAGAAGAGATTCTCTGCTAATTTTTATCGTAGCTGCGCTAAATGATTTTTTAATGTATTGTTAAATATATACCAATATCTTCCATAATGTCTCAGGGTACATATCTTTTGCAGGGAAGATCAGATAAATCTTGATAAAAGTATGTATATGTCACAAACTTTTCGTTAAAATTTATATGTCGTAGACATATTTTTTGTTTTATTTGGTGGGACATGCATGGTTACTTTCACAACTAATTCATGTGCGCTATTATTCAGGGAACATAAAACAGTTTTCGTTGATATCGTTCGCTTAATTGTTTTATTTTTCATTGTAGTAGAGCAAATCCTGACATTTACAATAAATCAAATACGTTAACTAAAAAAGATGGCAGAACACAACTTCGATTTTTTATTTTTTATTAAGATTACAGTTTTTTTTCTGTTTACGACCTGTATTTAACTTGAATCAATTTTCTTGCAATACATGTAAGCATACTTTCTTAATTCGAGTTTTAACTTCTAGATGTGTAAATCATAGATATGTTAATTACATCTTTTGAATATCGACAAATTTTTACTATATTTACCTGAGAGGCTAGAACTGCCAAATCCACTAGCTCTTCCAGCAAAAGCACTGCCGAATCCACCAGAAATTCCACCACCTAAACTTCCTGTTAATCCCCCAGTATTGCCTACAACACCAAGACCTCCAAACCTTCCAAACTGTCCGGCAATTCCACCACCTAATTGACCAGCAAATCCAGAACCAAGACCACCGAGTAATCCTCTAGGCAACCAACCTCCTAAGATACCATTGTAACAAACTTTTTCAAGAGCGGATACATAATATATCAATCTTAGGTATGCACTGAAACTGAGGGTGATTGATTGACTAGCACCACTTCCAGTCAGAGAAGCGGTTATTCCACTACCACCAATAAGTTGAACACCAACGTTACCCCTTGAGCCTCCTAGACTAGCGACTACAATATTAAAAACGTATTGAGTGTACTAGATTTCAGTCTGTAAAATATTTAACGCTCAACTAAATGTTTTTCATCTTTAATAGAATTTGGTCGATACCGCTCCGGATAGACTATTAGTCCCCGATAATACCATCAGATGAATAATCATGATTTATAACATACATTTCTTAAATTATCATTTTATAAATTGATAAATTATTAAGAAACTAAGAAACTAAGGTTTCAACTTCCTCGGGCAAAGTTGACTTGATGTTGATTTGGCTTTTAATTTTAGTTCATTTTGATAATATACTTATTCACGTGGCTTTCAGATATTTGGACTTGAACGTTCCTGATGAAAATTTATCAAGAAAAGCGCATCGGACTCATAAAATGTATAGTGTTTTATTTATTTTTTGTAGGAATAGAACTGGAATAATCGCGTGCATTTATTTTTGCGATTTTTAAAGAATAGACGAAACTATGAGTATCAGATATTCCGATGCGAGTTCTTATCATTTTGAAACTTACCAAGACGCATTATTCGCATTCATAAAAACCTCGCTTTAACTTCTGAATTAGCAGTCATTTTTTATATAAAATGCAATAAAATGTGTGAACACTATAACACAAATAGCGTTTGAGAAACTTGACATACATATATGGTACAGGCTTCTAAATATTGATAATGAACACACATGTAGATTTATTTCATAGTTTTGAGTTGTTGAGTCAATATCAAATATTTGTATTGCCAATATCTCTTTTTACTCATACTTGGAATAAGAAATGAGTCATGATTTAATTTCTAACCTGATATATCTGCCTTCTAATTTAAGAGAATCAATGTGTTGTTTCAGTTATAAAATAAATGTCACATACCTCCTCCACTGGCATGAGTAAGATAAATTGTAAGCAACAGCACAAAACAGGTTATGCAACTATTCATCATCATGCCTAAAGTAAAGAAAGATATATTGAAGTTTGAAATCTGAATTGTAAAGTTTTAATACTTCGAAAATTCTTGGAAAGTCGACAATTTACCATTAATACCATTATATTTGGGGTCATTGTTGTCTCGCCTTTTTGCCGCACATTTATTGTATCATTCACGACATTTGTTTTAAAGGCTAAGATACACTATATACCACAATAGCTATTGACGTATGAAAAGTAACCCAAAGTAGAATCGTATGTGCATTTGTTCTCATTCGAAAATTTACGTCAAGGTTGTTCACTAACACGTATAATTTAGGAAAATTAATACTTAGAAAAACAAATACAAAATACTATAATAAGACACTTAGTTGTAACGACTATTAGGTTGTCTGCATATTGAGTTACAATATGAAGATTTTAGTTGAGTGAGTGCAGCGAACGAGTTCAAAAAGGGTTCATATTGTGTTGAGCAGCTGATATTTTACAATGTCAATATCGGACAACCTGATAATCGATTTATCGCATTGTATTTGTGTATTTGCATGATAGAAACAAGTGTCTTTCTTTGTTTTACCAGCAAATTGGAAGATGACGTGATAAGATCGGGTCAAACTTATCTTTGTCGGTTTATTCATATTGATATTATTCAGTTAGCCATTGAGAAAGGTCGATATAAAAAAATCGATAAAGATAAAAGATTTTGTGGATCGTGCTTAAATATGCAGGTTGAAGACGAGTTTCATTTTGTAATGGAATGCATTGCATACGAAAAGGAAGGAATTTTATTCTTAATGAAGCATGCATTCAGTGTAAAAACTTCCCTTATATTTCAAAGTACGAACAGTTTATTTGGTTGATGTCCTGTGATTCTGAAAATGTTAATATGTCAATGTCAAGATTTATTAGTACTCGTTTTGAAATAAGAGAAAATTTGCATTCCAGAATCTAAATATACATGTAGTTATGACGTAGTTTATTTTTTAGGTATTAGAAAGGATTAATATTCTATTTTATGTATTTTCAAACACCATCTGGTATGGAATATAGTTATTTAATCATTTATTTTTAATGTAATATATCTTAAAAATTACTGTATAATTAATACTATACATATATATGTATATGCTCCGGAAACGGGCCCTTTAACTGGATTCAATAAATATTTTTATTCTTATTCTTATTGACGTCGATGATATGTCCGGGTCAAGTTATTAAGGCCAGGTCAACGTATTTGACGTCACAAAGCCGTGATATGCTAAGCAGAGTGATACAGACAGTGAAAACACCGATAAGTACCATTAAACATAAATACATTTCTTTGCTAAAAGATTGCATTCTCAAAATATGTTTTTACTATATTTCTATTAAAATGATTTAAATTGATGCACTTTTCATATCAAATTCAACTTTAGTTTGAAACAGCGTTCATGAGCATTGAAAATTTACATAATTTTTTGACAAAATTTCATACCTGTATTTCCTTCGGTGTGTTTGGAACTCTTAGATGAAACTAGGACCTTTGTTCATCATTTTTATATCATTGCGCGTACGTGTTTTCTATTTTATACACGGGCACTAACTGTTACAAAAACACGAATTCGCAATTGTAAACGTCGTGTTTTACATGCATGTGAACCACACAATAAAGATTTACTTTTGCTTAAGCGGTTATTTTATTGACGAATATTAATCAGTTTGCTTTATTTGTCATTTTTGACATGTTTTTACAAATTTACACATGAAATCTCCTATGTTATGGTTATTTAAACATATAATTCCGGCTTCTCGGAAACGACATGAGCTTCTGGAATAACCTACGTTAGGTTCGATCGAGACCACATGTGAATCACACAATCAAAGGACAGACCAAAGGACAAAGATGTAAACAACTATAGAGCATTGTACAACATTCAACTATGAGCAAAAACAATTTCGTAAAGTAAGCTACAGTCGATCTTGGATGTTGTTAACGTATAGCATGAATACAGATTTAAGACACTGCGTCAGTACAATGAAATATTACTTATGAACTGGAAATTTTTTGACAAAATGTATATTTGTAAAAGAACTGGCTATTACCATGACAAATGATGGCAGTATACCAATACATGTTCAAATAACGGCATATATGAAGCAGAAACTCCTCATGCGTCGTATCACCTAAGTTCGACCCTATATTATCAGTAGGGCTTATGTTTTGCAATTTTATTTTTCAGTGAAACGTCATCGTAACGTCATTTACCAGAAGTGACGTCATCTATCAATATACCGGAAATGGTTGTTGCGCATCCGTGACCAGAAGTCAAATGACAGAATATGAGTTACGGAAGCCGCCATTTAAGGTGAAATTACTGTGCATGCGTGAATTGAAGCTTATTTCCCGCTGTTTTGGAAGCAGACAACAAATTCCGCCATTTTTCGTTCAGAATTTCTTGTCCTTGTAGGTAGTGTCTATATTTCTCTTAACTCTAACTTAAGTGTGAATGGTATAATTTAGTGCAAAAAAAGTTTTAAAGTGGCTTGAAGCTTAACAATGAATTGCAAATCAAAAGGTTTGAAATTCCAACAATGGGAAGGCATGTTACGGAAAATTTCAGTCAATCGTAAACCGTGTTATAATTTTTCTTATATATTCTGTGAAGTCTACGTTCTCATGTTCGGTTACGAGAAGGATATATTTAATTTTCAGAGGGAATGGTTTCTTAATTTTATTAAAGGGAGGTAATTGTAAGTTTTCTATTATTGCGGGTGTTTAACAAATTCGCACTTTATTTTCGTGAGCTTTGATGGTAATGGATTTTGAATGTTCTCACTAGCTGCTGCTGTTCAATGGTTTGGTATTGCTGCTCCAGGGTGCGAGAGCTTGGTATGGCTGCTGCTGCTTGAGGGTTTGGTTTTGCTCCTGCTGCTACTTTTGTAAAGGCTTCTTACTGGTATTTTGTTTTTATCAGTAAAACAATAAATATTATGGAGTGCGACGTTGGATTAGGAAGCGAATGGGAGTTAATATAGTAAAGAATGTAATGGTGTATCAGGCAATATTAAACTGGAATTTAAAACTACGAAAGTCGTATTCTTAACTTCAAAGGCTTTTTTGGTAAAGCAATTGTTATGGCCTAAGTTGTCCTTATCTTCATCTTCAGGTACCGGCTTGAATCATTTTATCACTTCATGCAGAAGAAACTTTCGTTTTTCAATGGCAAATTTCCATGATTCCTTGAGCTTATATTCTTTCTCGTTCCTTATACGTCTTTCAGAGGTTTTGATCTTTTCTGTTAACTGAATCGATGGACATCTCCTGTTTGTTCCAAAATCAGTTTGAGATACAATTTCCGGGCTGTTGTCTGTTAAAGAATAAAAACAACACTTTATAAATTGCATGCGTCCAAAGCATTTTTCTGGATTTTTATTCATCAGGAACGCTCAAAGCCGAATATGTGAAAGCCAAGAGTGTAGAAGAACTGTAACAATTAATTTGATTTGATTTTTGGTGTTTTAACGCCACTTTTAAGCACCGCTTTTGGGCTATTTCGTGGCGGCCAGTTTTTTATTGGTGGAGGAAGCCGGAGTGCCCGGAGAAAACCACCGACCTTCGATAGGAAAACTGACAATCTTAGTCAATTAAGATTGGAGTCGAGTGCAGCCGAACGAGCGGGGTTCGAACTCACAACATCAGTGTTGACTGGCTAGTGATAACAGTAGTAACTACTAAGACCACTCGGCAACCGAGGCCCCAATTGTAACAATAGAAGAGCTATATGACCAAAAAGGACCTTAAACAATAGCCAAATCCATATAAAGCCGATTTTGCCTGAGGGAGTTGAAACCTTAGTTTCTTTATAATTTAGTACCGAAGTACTGACTAATGATCTGTTGATAATTCGGGGATAGATAGTCCA